CGCCCCTCCTACATGCCCTCTCCTACCCGCCCCTCCTACATGCCCTCTTCTACCCGCCCCTCCTACATGCCCTCTCCTACCCGCCCTCTCCTACCCGCCCCTCCTACATGCCCTCTTCTACTCGCCCCTCCTACATGCCCTCTCCTACCCGCCCTCTCCTACCCGCCCCTCCTACATGCCCTCTTCTACTCGCCCCTCCTACATGCCCTCTCCTACCCGCCCTCTCCTACCCGCCCCTCCTACATGCCCTCTTCTACTCGCCCCTCCTACATGCCCTCTCCTACCCGCCCTCTCCTACCCGCCCCTCCTACATGCCCTCTTCTACTCGCCCCTCCTACATGCCCTCTCCTACCCGCCCTCTCCTACCCGCCCCTCCTACATGCCCTCTTCTACTCGCCCCTCCTACATGCCCTCTCCTACCCGCCCTCTCCTACCCGCCCCTCCTACATGCCCTCTTCTACTCGCCCTCTCCTAAACACTCCCTCTTCCATTTCTGGCAACCAGTAATCAACTTTCCATTTCTGTAATGTTGCCATTTCAAGCGTGTTCTCTAAATGAAATCATGAAGTATGTAGCCTCTTGAAAGTGGCTTTTTTTCACCCAGCATAATTCTCTGGATACTCATCCAGTTGCCAGATCTATCAATAGTTTGTTCCTTTTTATTACCGAGAGAATCCCATGGTACGGACGTTTCAGTTTGTCTAACCATCCAGCTATTGAAGGACATCTGGGTTGTTTCCAGTTTGGGCTCTTACAAATAAGGCTGCCGTGAGTGTAAACCTAAGTTTCCATTTCTCTGAGATAAATTCCCAGGACTGAAGTCACTGAGGCATATGGTATTTGTATGTTTTTAAAAGAAATGACCAGACTGTCTTCCAGAGTGGCTGTACCGTTTCGCATTCCCACCCGCCGTGTATGTCGCCCTGTGGCTCTGCACCCTCACCAGCATTCAGTGTTGTCACTATTTTTTTACTTCAGCCTTTCTGATAGGCGTATGTAACAGCTCATTGTGGGGGTTTTGTTTTGTTTTTTAATATATATTGATTTCAGAGGGAGGAAGGGAGAGGGGGAGAGAGAGATAGAAACATCAATGATGAGAGAGTCATTGATCGGCCGCCTCCTGCATGCCCCCAACTGGGGACAAGCCTGCAACCGGGGCCTGTGCCCTGACCGGGAATCGAACCGTGATCTCCTGGATCCTAGGTCAGTGTTCAACCACTGAGCCACGCCCTGCTACGCTCATTTTTGTTGTTGTTCTCATATTGGTTTTTTATTTTTATTTTTTATTTTATTTATTTATTTTTTAAAATTTATTTTTGTTTAAAATATTACAGATGTCCCTTTTTCTCCCCTATGACCCATTCCACCCCGTCACATCCCTCTCCCCAGTCCCTCTCCCCACCATTGTCAGTGTCTCATTTTTGGTTTTAATTTGCGTTTTCCTGATAACTAATGAGGAACATTTTTTTAATGTGCTTATCTGTTATCTTTATAGCCTCTTGGTGAAATGCCTCTTCATGTTTTTACTTCGTTTTCCAATTGGGCTGTTGGATTTTGAGCATTAAGTTTTGAGAGTTCTTTAAATATTCTAGGTAGTAGTCCTTTGATGATATATAGTTCCTCCCACTTCGTAGCTCTTTATTGATGAAATGTAACCTATTGAGTTTTGCTTTTATGAACCATGTGTTTGAAATCATGTCTAAGAAGTTTTTGCTAAGGTCCAGGTACCAAAGTTTTCCTCCTGTGTTTTTAAATTTTTTTCCAAATTTGTTTAGCTTTCCATTTTACATTTAAGTCCCTGATCATTTTGAATTAAGTTTTCTATAAGGTTGGGGTTCACTTTTCGTCTATGGATGTTTAATTGCTCCACTGAATTGCTTTTGTGCCTTTGTCAAAAGTCAGTCAGGTGTATTCATGTGTCTCTGTTTTTGGTTCTCTGTTCTGTTCCACTGATATGTGTGTCTGTCCTTCTAACCGTACACTGTATGGTTACTCAGACATAAGATTGAGGAGAGTGACATATCTCATTTTCAAAATCATTTTAATTATTCTAGGTCTTTTGCTTTTCCATCAAATTTTAGACTAATTTTGTCTACATCTAAAAAAAAATCTTTCTGGGCACATTTGCTTTAAAAAAATCAAATGTGTCAGATGACAATAAAAAAAAGTTTATGGATCCTTGAAACTTATTAAAAATGAATAAATAACACTGAAGAACTTCCCAGCTTGAGTAAATACTCTTACAAAGCCCATAATCTAAACCAATCTATTAAAACCTGCATTTTTCCTGTTTTATTTTTTTCTTCATTAACAGTATGTTAATTAAATTTTCATGTCAAAATTTCAAATCAAAGTGTGGTAACATTAAAAAAAGAGATGTAGACTTTGAAGAAAAGTAAACAAAAGCACAAGTAGTAAAGTGAAAATTAAAATGGAAAGTCTCTCTTGGGTAACACAAGACTTGCAACACATTTATGGGTCCTGTTATATCAGGTAATGGAACAAATAAACATTTAGAATGACAGCAAGTAAAGTTAAAGACAGTGATTTGGTTATTTTTATCGACATGCTTAAATCGCATAGGTAAAATGTAGTGGTCTACTTTTTATAATATTTACTGTATCATCTAGATTTCTAAATTTCCAAATCTTTATTCATATGTTTAAAAAGTTTTAGAAATTGGATAGTAGGAGGGAGAGGAAAGCTGAAATTAGCCGGCTACCCCTGGGTTCCCCACTTGGAGCACAGGGCTCCCTCCCCCTCCACGCTGCCAGCCGAGAGACAGGCGGCGGAGGCTCAGGCTCACATCCCCAGACAAGACGCCCCAGGGCGAGAGCACCTGCACTCGGCTCTAAAATAAAATACTGTCAAGGAGCAAAGTGCAGCGGAGGAAGGAAATGATTCTAAATCTCCATGTAGGCAAGGAAGTGGCCTGAAGGTAAGGAAGGTGACATTTGAAGAAAATACTAGTGAACAAGTTCTACCCCGAGATGCTGAGCCCCTGAGACGGCCCCAGGGGTGCTTCTGTGTTCAGACTGGCTGCGGATGCGGGGGTGGGGGTGGGTATGAATAACCCTGGATTCTGGGGAATCTTCTAACAATATTGGCTCCCGGAAACACAGACAGTGTCGCTAGGGAATGAAACTGAAGGAAACAGTCTTACAGACTTTGTATCTGAGCAGAGGGTCGGAGGCCGGGTGCAGCTCGCAGGTCTGGTCGCCTGCAGGCCTGTGGCCCGCGTGGCCTTTCCATGCTCTCACTTCCTCTGGCCCAAAGCCGGGGTCTCCGGGAAGGAGCGCTACCCCCAGTCCAGGGGTGAGTATGAGGGGTGCTAAGCGCTAAGAGCCTAATTGTTTATTGAATATTTATGTGTGCGTGCACTTTGAACTTCTGTGAGAAGGAAAAGAATAGAAATTAGAATAAAAGTTAAAATGACTATATCATTCTTATTGTAAACTCTTTCATGTTAGATATCGAGGACAACCGTTTATTTTCCTAAATATGTTTAGTAGTACATTGCTATTTTGTTAAACTAGAATAACTATGTTCTTAAATCTAAATTATCTATACGTGAGTATTTTTTGATTTAAAAATATACTCAGAGATGTCTATTATTCTGACTTCATATATATATACACAGATATATCCTATATATCTACCTCTTGATATTTATAGAATGCAATGCAGAGGTCTCTAAAAAAAACAAAAGTCCTGCCATGCCTTGTACTTGCACAGGTGGAAAACTATTGCTAATTAGGGCCAGACTCCAAGATGTTGGCAAGAGGCTGCCTTCTCCATATAATGACCATCTAAAACCCCATGGAAACAGTGCTTGGGAGCAGAGTTATCTGTCCAGAGTCCTGGTCACATGTGGCACACCCGGCAC